TGCTCGGTCTAGCTGCAGGTCCTGTAGTCTGCTCGGTCTAGCTGCAGTGACCTTTATAGTAAACAAGAGGGTCAGGGTGTGATGTGAATCTCACCGCCTCGTTTCTACTTTTCTTACATATTTACATTTTCTAGTTTTCATCTCTATACTCATGCACATGTATGTGTATTTATGTATTCTATACAGTGTCTCACACTGTAGCTCAGGCAAGTGCAGAACTCCTTATGTTGCCCACCAAAGCTTGTTTGGACTTGTTTAAACTATTTCTCCTGGCTGCAATTACAGGTATCAGCCACTGTCCTGGGCTTATCTTGTATATTTTAAAATAAGGACACATAGCCAGAATTTATAAATGGTGAAACACAAGTGTACATTTTAATAAAGTGACTGAAAGTACATATATTATCTGGAAAACCTTATCACAGCATGCAACTGAATTTAGGAACCACTGGAGTGGCAAGAGCCAGGCCCCACTACCAGGCCTTTCCCTGTGCCCAGGTGAGCCTTGAAGTCTTGAAGCCCAGATCGCCTCCTGGGTCCCTCTTTCTTGGTCCTGCTCCACATGGAGCCTGTGGATTTTTGTCTTTCTTGCTCCTGTTGCATCCTCCTCATTCTCTAGTTTGTTTCTTACCCAGAAGTTCACCTCAGATGGTGTTCGTTCCATCACCAGTTCCAGCTTGAATGCCATCCTCCCTGGATGCTCTCTGTGGTACTTAGTGCCCTCCTGGCCTCTGCTGTTTCTTGTGTGTCAAGACCTCATTCAGTGCCGCGGTTCTGTGTCTCCTCCATGTGGATTCTTACATGGCCATACCTTTAAACTAGGTTTCACTTGCTGACTTCATTTTGAGCTGTTTTGGCATTTCTCACTCATTTATCATTTATCTGTAGACACATACCTGTGCTTTTTAGATGACATTAATATGCCTATTTTTTAATCACAGTAATATGTGATTCTTTACTCCATGGGAAATGTTCGTTTCTTTAGCTCTGTGATCTAAATCTCCTTGTATCTGACAGCTAAGGGGACATGTCTATCTGCTGTGCATTAGTGAATTGGTTTCTGAATGCAGATTATTTTCTTTAACTCCAGGTGACATAAAGTCATAGTCTTGTGTTGAATGCAGCTAGAGTCCTGAGTTCTGTGTGGCCTTCTGCTGGGTCCTTCTGGGGAGTCACTGTGGGGCACACAGAGCAGGGCACTGCTTCCTCACACGTGGAGGTCATTGTTGTAGACACCATCAGACTTGGGGGCAGAAGACAGATATCTTTAAAAAAAGACTTTAGAGTGGTGTGTGTGTGTGTGTGTGTGTGTGTGTGTGTATGTGTTTATGTGTGTGTTAGTTATATGGTGCCGGTGCCTCTGGAGGTCAGAAGAGAGCTTTAGATCTTTTGGATCTGGATTTACAGGTGGTTGTGAGTACTAGCCTGATGTGGGTGCTAGGAACCAGGTACTCTTAACCACCGAGCTATCTCTTCCAGCCCCATTGGTTTAAACCTTGGTTCTATCACCTGCTGCTTGAATTTGATTGAGCTGTTTAACTTCTGAAGTCATTTCGTTGTCTTAGTAATCTTTGTCACAGCCATAAGGCTTCACTGGGATAGTGCCTTAGGATGGGGCTTTCTTCCTAGAAGGCTGCTTCTTACTGTCCCTTTAAGAGAGGCATCTGCTCCTTCCTTCCCGAGCCCTCTGGTGTACAGTGTTTTTAGTGTAAACAGACTCACAGGAGAGTGTACTAAAGTTTGAGGCTGAAGGCTGAACATCATGTTGAGTTGGCCTGATTTCTGGCCTTGTCTCTTCTAGAATGTCTACAGCTTCCCCAGAGAGTATGAAGATTAATTAGTTAATCTTTGTAAAGTGCTCTGAAGGTGGAAAGTGCTATGTAAGTGGAATGGCTGAATTGCTATTGAAGATGTAATAACGATGGCACCGTAATCTGGCAGTCTTGCCTGTTTCAGACATCAGTAATCAATAGCAGAAAGTTCTAAGATGGTTTACTTGATTTGAAAGAAAGGATTCAGTGTGTGTTTATGACAACACAGTTCCTTCTGTGGTCCTGCTGATATTCAGTTTGGTACTTCTTCCCAGCTTAGGAATGCTGGAGTCCTTTACAGAGCAATGGTTGGAGTTGAGGCAGAGATGGCTCAATCAGTAGGATGTTTGCTGTGTGTATGGTTTGTATATGCTTGGCCCATGGAGTGGCCCTATTAGGAGGTGTGATCTTTCGGAGTAAGTGTGGGCGTGGGCTTAAGAACCTCATCCTAGCTGCCTGGAAGTCAGTCTTCCACTAGCAGCCCTCAGGTGAAGAGCTGGAACTCTCAGCTCCTCCTGCACCATGCCTGCCCGGATGCTGCCATGATCCCACCTTGATGATAATGGACTGAACCTCTGAACCTGTAAGCCAGCCCCAATTAGAAATGTTGTCTTTTATAAGACTTGCCTTGGTCATGGTGACTGTTCACAGCAGTAAAGCCCTAACTAAGACACTGCAAGCGTGAGGTCCTGAGTTTGATTCCTACACACACGTAAAGCCAGGCACCATTGCATGTGCCTGTGATCCCAGTCCTGGGGAGGCAGAGATAGAAGGATTCTTGGGGCTTGCTGGTTAGCCAGTCTAGCCAAATTGGCAAGCTCCAGGTTCAGTGGGAGACCCTGACTCAAAAAAAAAAAAAAAAGTGGAGAGCAACACTTGATGTGTCTTCACATGCATACACATGCATATGCACACACACACATATGCACACACATACACACACAAGTCATCTTCATCTTCTCCTGCTAAGGCAGTCTGATTATAAATTCTACCCAGCTAAGGTAGAGGGACAGTTGGCCAATGACTGCTGTTGTATCCCGGGCACAGAGTTTTTTCAGTCTAATCCACATAAGTGAGGGAGGAGTGTTTCAGGATTGTACAGTGATGTGAGCCATGACAGATGCAGTCTGGACCACTTGAAGAGACACAGCTTAGCCGTGTGTCCCTGAGCAGGCTTCTTTGAGCTTATTGTTGAAGAATACAAAGGGGGTCAGTTTAATCTTTTCTGGGAGAGTTGATGGTTCAGGAAAGGGTTCATGGGACCAACAGTACATGTGATAGACTCAGCAGGGCTGTAACTGTCAGGTTAGGAAGGGCAGCTGGAGTGGTACTTTACTGGGTTAGGAAATAGCAGCAGCAAACGGAACAGCACACAAGTATACAGAAACCAGTGCTCTGGGTCCCCCTTTCCTGAGCACCTTGTGGGCTTCACAGCCTCGGCTTCTGTCTTAGTCAGCATTCTATTGCTTCAAAGAGACACCATGCCTAAGGCCACTCCTAAAAAGGAAAGCATTTAATTGAGGCTGGCTTACAGGATCAGAGGTTTATTTCATTACCATTGTGGTGGGAAGCATGGTGGCACACAGGCACACATAGTGCTGGAGAAGGAGCAGAGAGTTCTACATATGGATCAGCAGACAGCAGGAAGAGAGACTTGTGGGCTTGGCTTGAGCATCTGAAACTCCAAGCTCCCCCCCCCCCCCCAGACTTCCTCCAACAAGGCCACATCCACTGCAGCAAATCCACCCCTCCTACTAGTGCCACTCCCTGGTGACAAGGGTTCAAATATGTGAGCCTGTGAGGGCCATTCATATCCAAACCAGCACAGTTCCCTCTCCTAGGAAGCCTGGGAGTCAGATTTCTGTGTATCTGCTTCAGTGTCTACCAGCAGGCTGAATCTAGGAACGTATCCCTGCAGAGCCCCATATGCTTGTGGTCTTCTGACATTTCCCCCTTCATCTCGGCTGTTTCTTAACTGACACGGGAAGCCATATGTTTCGTGTGGGGCCAGATGAAGCTTTGATACCAAACATAGTAGCTTTGTCTTGGATTTAATATGCATTACTTGGTGTTTTGTTTCTTAAGCAGAGTTTTTCTTTGTTGAAATAAACACAGATCAAGAATTTACATGGCGCACATGGTTATGCATATTTACCGCAGAGAATCTGTTAATAATCTATGCCTCACCGGATGTTAGAATAACGAAGGCAGCGCTTGGTAGAAGTGAATGGATTTGGCAAAATCTCTCTTATCTGGGGAAGGAAAGGCCATTGCTCCTTTTCCAAACCTCATTTTCTTCTGTCATCTGCAGCACTGGCTGGCTTCCCACATGGCGCTGGGGAACGGAATACATCTCTGGCTCCAAACGGCATTTTACAATTTTCTCTGCTCGCTTCCTTTCTTCTAGCACACAGACACACTTGCCTTGGACTATCAGGATTGCTCCTTTGGGTAAAGAAGGACTCCTTATTTTACCAGGAGGGGCGAACGAGAAACCAGCATAGAGTTGGGGGGAAGCTCCAGGAGATGTGAGGAGTACAAGGCCCCTGGACTGCATAGGAGGGAGGAGAGTTGATACCAGGCATCTGGGCAAAGCAGAAGGAGGGGGTGGTGGGACTGGGAGACAGTGGGTGAGCCACCAGCAAGGTTGGTGTTTACCCACGATGATGTCATCTCTATGCAAGAGCATCATAGACCTGAGACTGTCTTCGGGGTCTGGCTCTACTCTTACCTACTTGCTTGTTCTTGGGGGAGTCTTTTAGCTTCTCCGAACCTCAAGTCCCACTTATGTGAGTGTATGAAGACCCATACTTCTTTTATTTTTCTTTTTAAAAATCTCTTTGTATACACACATGCACGTTTGTGAGAGTGTGGGCCCATGTGTGCTGGGATTAGAGATGTGAACTATCTCATCTGGCTCTGAACAGCTTCTGGAGATCTGAACTCAGGTCCTCATACTTACATGGCAAGGAATCTGAGCCATTCTCCCTCACCCCCAAGGCCAATGCTCTTGTCTTTGATTGAAACATAAGGAAGTAAACAGTCACAGTTTTACTAGTAACTGTGGTTTACTCTTGAGAGCACATCTGGAGAACATTAGCCTTCATTCATATTGTGTTTATTTGCAGAAACTGGCAAGGTGTTTACTTGGGGCCGAGCAGACTATGGTCAGCTAGGGAGGAAGTTGGAGTCTTCTGAAGCTCAGAAACCTTTAGAGCAAGATTCATCGCTCACCTTCCAGAGGCTGCAGAACAGTGTGCCTTCACCTCTCCATTGCCTGACAGGAGCAGCAGAGGTAAGTGGCAACTTCCTGCAGATGCAGTATTCTGCCTTCCCTGCTTTGCAGAGAAGGGTTTCTGGGGTGACTTCCTGCACATACAGTGTGCCTTCCCTGTCTCACAGTGAAGTGTTTCCCCAGGGCTTCTTATATACAAGTCTGAGACATGATATGTTTATACAGGAATCTGAAGGGGTCCTTGCTCACAGGAAGCTGATGGTTTACTACGATGGAAAAGTTGGTTCTTGGTTACCCACGTGTCCGTTAGCATCAGGCAGACTGTGTAACTCATTTAGGGAGATTCAGAGGCCAGCATTCCAGGTCCACTGGCAGGAGTGAGAACTTAAATTCAGTTGGTGGAAAGGTCGGCTTGGGTTTTGAGAATGGCATGGTTTTGAGGTATGCTGTGAGGTATGGATGGGACTGAAGCATTTGGAACTTCCGGAACATTTGGAGGTTCCAGGAGGACTTCCGGGAACATAAGACGTTGAGTAGAGTCGTTCCAGGTGAGGAGGACACATGGGGACTGCTAACAGTTAAATTGGCTGGGACATGGAGCCCTCGTGGGGTGATAACATGGGGAATGGGGCGCTGTAACCCAACCTAGGAGGCGTTCAATACTGAGCTAAGTATTCTGCACCTCTGTTTACAATTCCAGTGAAGGAAACATTGTAGCCCACTTGCTTATTCAAGTCCCTTAGGCTCTCTGAAATGGCCCGAAGTTCCCCATGTAAGGCAGGAATCTTAATTTCTCCAGGGTATATGTTTCTGTCACTAAATTTTACTTCGCTGAGTCTTTTGTTTGTTCTTAAAGAAAGGCTAGAGGCTTTAGAAGCATGGGCACCAGGAGCTGTGTCTGAACTGGAGTTAGTTTAATGAAGGAATTCAGTCTTCATTCAGAGTCTGTCAGAAAAAATTAATAAGCTTGTAAGACTTCTGTAATTAGCAAGAGGCTAATTACAGCCCTCTCCACACCTGGAGGGCTCCCCTTCCCCAGGGCCGCCTGGCTACCCCTTCCCAGTACGCAGGATGGTTGGTTTCCATTGCATGTCCTACCCTTCATTCTCCCGAGCCCTTCCTCTGTGCCATGAAGGCAGCATGTACACAGCAGTGATGAGAAGCCCACGTTTAACCCCCACCCTAACTAAAGCACATCCCTTTGTATATGCAGGAGCTCATACTTGTAAAAGGTCAGAGGTAGGATTTGTTACTTGTTTCAGCCTTCGAGTATCACAAGTGCTGTTTCACTTCCTCTTGTCTTAAAATGATCACGTAAAATGACTGCAGAGAGGCAGTGAGATGGCTCTGCAGGTAAAGAAGCCTGCCACCGAGCCTGCTGACCTGAGTTTTATCCCTGGAACCAACATCTTCCATCATGTGCTCTGACACGCATGTGACCACACCTGTGTTTATTTATCTATCTGTATCACTGCCTTTGAACTAAGCAGCCAGAGCCTGTCCAATTGCTTCTTTTAGACTCTTGGTGATGAGTTCATGGGCAACAGCCATGAGCGTCTTTATGATCTCTACTGTATTCCTTCTGGTTCTGCTTGGCTCGGCTGACAATTGCCCAATTGAAGGAGTAGAGTATCAGTCTCTTCCGTGTAGTGAGTTCAGTTGCAGACAGCCTGATCGTAATTGTGTAATAGTATAATTGTCTTTAGCATTCTCATTTTTTTCTATGTTGTTTGAAACTTGGGTGGCATTGTAGCAGAGGCACAGGAGCCTTGTCCATTGCTTTGTCTCTGGTTCTGTTGGCAAGATGTGAGTCCTAATTCCTAAGGTAGACTTTGCATATTACCCGGGGAGCTGGTAAGGATAGCGTGTATACTTCTCTGGGGGCAGCAGGGATTTGGTAACAGTTGGTTACATTGTCTTCTGCAGGAAGCATTCAATGACCTGTGTTGGTCCAGCATGCCACACTGCTGCAGACACAGACAGTAGATACATGTGCCTTGTGAATCTGCTATGACATGACTGGGTGGAAGTACTGGGGTTGGGCCCAGGGCCTTCTGCTTGCACATCTAGGCAGGTACTCTACAGCTGAGCTCTTTTTCACTTTTTATTTTGGGATAGGTTCTCACTAAGTTGTCCTGACTGGACTTGAATTCACTCTGTGTGACCTAGACAGACCTCGAATTCATGATCCTCCTGCCTCAGCCTTAAAGAGCTGAGATTATAGGCCTGCCCCACCAGACCCAACAGATGAGGAGTGGGCTTGGATCCACCTCGTCCAAGTACCCGCATTTGGAGCTCCTCTTCTTTGCTCCAGCCTCTGGGGCTGATGCGCATCCTCAGGTCTCTTTACAGGTTCACACTCCAGGCTGCTACATGCTAGTAAACTGTGACGGGCATTGTTTCCTGTTGATGCCCATGTCTGGCTTCTTTAGCATCTGTTTGTCAGAGTCCCAGGAAGAGTAAGGCTAGTAGGCTGCCAGATGCTTGTAGGTTTGGGTGAATTTGCTTTGGAGAAGACAAAAGCCATACTAAGCTATATGCTACTATGTTAGGGGCTGGGAGTAGGTGGGGATGTAGGGACATATGGACAGGCATGAAGACTCTGGAAGTAAGCTGATAATTCCTGAACTTCAGGGACCTGAGTGTGACACACACAGCTGACCACTGCCTTTAATTTCTATTAATTGCCTTTCATGTCCAAGGCATAAGAAAAGGAGGGAGTGAGCTGTCTGTGCTGTGGCCTCCTAGGACATCTGCAGAGAAGGGTCTAGAACAAGAGCCCATCAGGAGGAAAGCATAGGCAGGTAGAGTATAGCATAACCTTCCTTCTGGCGAACAAGAAGGACAAATGAATACAAAGTTGCTAGAGATTCTCCCCGCCTGTGTGCTGGATGCTTAGTAAATGCACTTCCATAAACGTGTGTGTGTGTGTGTGTGTGTGTGTGTGTGTGTGTGTGTGTGTTTTACTCAGTTTTGTGAGTAAGAGTGCAAGGCTCTAAGAGAGGAACTTAAAAATGGGCCAGGACTCCTGGTGTCAGCAACACTTCTATCCCTTCCCTTCAGGTGAAGTGCCTCCCTTTTAGTATGTGCCCTTTTCTGAATGAAAGTTTCTGAGGTCTGGGTGGCAGAGTCTCTAATGCTCTGAGAGTCTTGATTCTTTTATTGTGAGCTACGTCTCATCTGGGGATGGAGTTTACTTGAGATTACAGCCCGGTCGGTCTTTCTGTAACATCCCCACAGTGGCGAAGGCTGTGTGTCTCCTGGTTTCTCTTTAACCTGCTTTGGACAACTCCTGGGGTCACACAGTGATCAGGATTCATGTCCACGCACATGTGAGCACAGAGTGTCTGACCAACTTTGTTGCTCATGACTGGGAGCACACAGCACAGTGACCTATTGTTTCCTAAGCTCCAAGTGGGCTGTTGCTTTGACATTTCCCGTGGGCACTGGCTCTGACATACACCCCCGAGGTGCAATCCTGCATTTCACAATTGCAAAGAAGTACCTGGGCTCACTTGGTGGGTGCACAGGGGCTCTCTGAAGTTTCAAGGCAACTGAAATTGATAACCTGGCTTGTCTTTGATAAAACCAGGCTCTGATTTTTCTCTGACATGAATCTGAGTAAGCCTCTTTCCTCCCGTGTTCTTAGTTTGCTAGAATGTGGATTGGTCCAGATGATTCTCACAGGTTTTGTAGATCTGAGGGCCTCTTTTGTCTCTCGTTCTTATTTCTTGGCTGAGATACTGCTGAAGCTCTTATGGTGGCTCTGGCTTCTGGTGTTCCTCAGTTTTGAAGCCAAGGCCACAAATTCTAAGCCACAACCCAATTCTCTGACAGCCTGGGAATGCTAGTTAGTTTAGAAGTTCAGGGCTTCAGAACCGATTGGCTTGCTTTGTCTTCTGTCTTTGTTTCTGGTCCAGTTTGGCTGGAGGACCTGAGATGATGCCCTGTTGCCAGTGCTGACTTCAGAACCACCTGCTCTGTTCTCTGATACCTTCTGTCTCTTCCTGGTCTACCGAGAGCTTTTGCCTGTGGTTTGCTATTCTCCCTGTGCAGACCTCAAGGACCCTGCTGTTTTGGATTCCTGGTTAGCCTCCCCCTGCTGTTTTTTTGTGTGTAGTATCCCACCTTCCCCACTCTGATGTTTACCTCTTTCTGGACTTTGCTGTCTTGTCCTTTCCCTTGTCAACTCCATAAGTATTGGTGTTCAAAGAGCTTCCTAGTACCTGAGTAAACATGGCACTCCGGGCTGAGAAGTGAGGTAGAGATAGATGCAAGGAAGCCGTGAAGACAGAGCGGTAATTCTGAGGACACTAAGAAAAGGAACTGTCGTTTGACCCAGGCTCTTTAAACCGGGTTGGTGTATAGCAAGGATACGGCATGCCAAGGGGAGCATGAGTTAAGGTGGCCACACTGCTTGAGCCTCCCTGTGCCTGAGCCTAGCTCTGCAGTGTGGCTGCCTGTCTGGCCCGTCCCCTTCCCTGACACAGTAGCAAAGACAAAGCATGTTCATACATTGTCTCATTTGATCCTTGTATGGTGCTGTGAGATAGGCCTCAAGAGGAATGATTATTTCAATTTACAATCAAGAACACCGGGGCCCAAAGAGGCTTGCTAGGAGGTAGGAGAAGAGCCAAGACAAATGACCTGATTGTCAGTGTTGCTGGGGGCTTGCCTGGGCTCAGCCTGCAGTCACATCCCTGAGTCATGTTCCTGGTTTAAATTCTGCCCACATTTGGTTGAGGAGCACCGACTTTCAGCGCACACTTGCACGTGTGTGTGCACACAGCCCCGGGAGTAGGAGCCGTGGAATTAAACAACACTTGGATCAGAGATGGGGTCACTGAAGCTGAAGGATCTCCAGCATTCATTCCACTACGGGACAGCAGCTTCAAAGGGTCACCCTGTGCACAGGGTCCAAGTGAAGTCTGTCAGAATGCGTGGGAAAGGAGCTGTTTTTAGTTTGCCGAGTCACTCCCTCGGCCGCATTAGCTGAGAATTGAGCCTGTCCCCTACACTTTCCACCGTGTTATTTCTGAAGGAGAAATACCACTTGAATG